GAAATATATGAACTTTTCTGAATAATAGCCACTGAAACAATTTACTAATTTTTCTTTCAGGAGGAGAATTGAAGAAATTACTGATGGTACTTTTAACTATTGCAGTTATAAATAAATGGCTTTAGAGAAGTAGAACTAAAAATCCAGATTGTGGACAATGAGTTAGCATTGCAAGATTTTTATGAGCTTGTAAGAAACATAGTTAGCTAATGTGAGGTGAATAGCAAGAGGAAGAAGTAGCAAGACAAGAAAAAATGAAAATGAAAACCAAAATTTCTTCTCTGATACACTGAGTGGACAGGACAGGTAATATATTTCATGCAGAAACACCTATCATCCTGGGAAACTTCTCTTTTGATTGTTTTCAGGGTGGAGAAATCATCAACCAAAAGTTTAAATCAGACTTTTTTGTTGAAGCATTATTGATAGCTTTTTGGCTCAACAAAGCCTATTTCTGTAGTAGAAAACTTTCTTGCCTTGGGAAAATCTTGGGATTTTCTCCTTATGAAATACAGAACACATGTCATTGACATTCACTTTAAGTGTGTTTACACATGGTCTGCTGGTCTTCATTTCTAATACTGTTCATTACATTGAGAGGTGCTCATTCCTGAGTGAATGCAATTCTCTTCCTTCAAGAGATAAGCACAGAATAAAAATATTGGGACTATCTGTGGAAAAAAAAAGATTAAGATTTTTTTTGCATTGCAAGAATTTGTAAGAATAAAATAGAATAAATGCAAATTTCAGACAGTTTGTCTGTTGCGAAAGAAGTTCCCACAACACAAATGTGGGACATCAAATGATCCCATATTGTTCTCAGCTAGATAAATTGTTCTCCTCTTGATTATTCAACTGGAGTTGAGTCAAATGAACTGCCATACAAGGAAAAGGACTTTGGTCCCATCCAAAATTTCATTCTACTGTAGTGGAATGGACACGGTATTTGTATTTTCAACAAATACTGACCATACAGCTGTGTTTTCTATTCAGATATGTTTTATGTTGTTAGGTTTTTGTGTTTGAAATCACCATGCAGTGACACAATAAAAGATTATCACATGAATGGTTTTGTTAAATGACTCTAGTTTTCAGGAAATGCAGTAGTATGGCTCAGCAACATCACTTAAAAAAACTTATTTATGATAAGGCAAATTATACCAACCCCTCCAGTTTCAGGATTGAAATGCAAATTAAAGAAAATAATATGGATTTACCCTGCCTGAATTGTGTCTCTCCTTGCTTTATGACACTTCATTATTATATTTATTTTCATTGTGATGGCATGTAGAAAACTAGGCTATAAATTAGTGTCCTATTTGTGATAGGTGCTATATAAACAGGAACAAGAAGAAAGTCCTTGATCTGAAGGGTTTTTAAGAAATGACAACAGACAATCCAGAATCAAAATAGCAAGGAGATATTGTGGCAATTCTGGTTGGAAGTGTTGGCTGTTATCTTAGTCCAGTTGCTGCCTAAGTGTTGTCTAGATGCTTCATGTTGGTTTTTTTTTTTTGTTTTGTTTTTAAGGCCATCACAACTAAGTACTCTAGGAAAGGAAGCAGCAATGTAATGGAAAGACAGCTTAGCTGTAAGCATGGAGCAGCTTCTTTTAAAGTCAAGTGTGTGGGAGGGGAATAGCATTGTGGAAGCAGCAGAGACAGGAATAGAGCTTTCCATTCTAGTTTGAAGCTGATAAATACCTTTACGAATGGCTTTGAAAACAAAGGTTAGGAGAATAAAATAGATTGGTGTTTATAAGGTAGCAACATGTTATAATCCTGGAGGAAGAGGATATTCTTTTCATCAATTTTTTGGGGTTGCATAGAAGGGAGGAGATCGCTTTCTATTGAAAAAAACACTATACAAGCAAAACCAATCTGCAGAATGGGCAAGTTTGTGCTTGTGTCTGTTGGCAGAAACCACAGCTCCAAAGAAAGGAAGTGTTTCCTGAATGGTCTCTTTGTCAGCAGTCATAATGATAAAGGATATAGGAAGACAGAATTTACATGAAGGTTTCTAATTAAAACCAAATGTGTATTTATGAATATTTCCTGAACTTCACATAAATCTATAATTTGCTTTTTTTCCATCAGTGAAGTAAAGGAAAAGATGGATTTATTTACTAATTTGACTAATTTGCACCTTTGCTCAATTTACTGGTTTTTTTTTAATTGACAGAAAATATGCTTTTTTTAATTTGAATGATTGGTGGTATGCCTTAGCCTTACATTGGTTTTATACAAAGGAAGAATTCGTATATTCACTTTGGGAACACTTCTCATTTCATTCAGTTTACATTTGATTTTATCTGTAACCTGTCTCTTTCTACTCTATATCTTCACAAAGATATGAACAAGATGACAGATTTTGTACAGCACTTAGTGTCTTTTTCTTCTCGTTGACACTGAGTACTGTGAAAAGCTGAGCTCTAGGAAGAAGGACACTTGTAGTCAGTAAAGTAGCAAGTAGAATAAAAGAAATTTTTTTGTACTAAACTCAGCTGTTTTGTGAAAAGGGGCACTTTGCTCCCATGTCTTCCAACTGGAGTCAGTCATAGCTCAAGGAAAAGCATGATATTTTGCTGAAACAGCCAAAGTAGAAATATATGCCACGTCTTTTTCTAATGTGAAGACTTCTGAAAAGGTCTTCCATTTAGAGATTAACTAGACCAAATGCTAAAACAATTTTTTGTGCTACGGTCATTGTCTTGGGTCATAGGGCTGTGGTCAAAATAGTTTGAAGCAATGGGAAAGAAAAGCTAAAAATAATCTGTAGTACAATATATTATTTTTGTCCAGTGCCCTCCCCATGTCCCAAAGACTCCAAACCAGCTCTTCCCAAGGAATGTAAAGTTTTTTAAAAATGAGCAGATGTAAGGACTTGACGTCACCTCAGTTGAATGAAATGAAATAGAGGGTCTGTCTCTATGTAATGAAATCAAGACGGACAGCAATAGGAAGCAATTATTGAATAATAAGGTCACAGTTTGTGTTGGGTAGTATTCATGCTTTGTGAAGAAGCTTCTGTCCTTCTTATGGCAGTATAAAGGATTTCTTTACACCTTGGTGTCCAGGGAGTTTCTCATTGTGCGTTAGCAGAAATGGTAAACATAAATTAACAAAGACAGTTTGCTGAGTTTCATTTTCTACTGCATGATATGGGTGAAGATACAGTAAAAATCTTTCTGAATTCAGAGAAGATATGCACATAAATAGCCATTATTTTCAATTATTTAGTGATAAAAAAAATTATCACAATTCTGAGACAGAGGACTCCAAGGCACATTTTGACTCAAATATTCTCAGAAGAAAAGGTACCAAGACAGTGCTCTGCTCCAGACATTTTCATGGCATAGCCAGCTGCAGTGCTGATTGCCAGCAAACTCAAAGTTGCTGTGTGGTGGTACGGCTTTAATCCAAAATTCATCAAATATCTGCTCATGGTGTTGAGAGGCTATGAACCACCTGTCAGGACCTGCAAATTAGCCATAAAGGATATCTGGGATCACAGCTCCATTTCCCAGCAGTCCCTTCAGCAACTATGTTATATTTGGGTATAAACTAACCCTTGGTATGTATTTAGACCCCTGCTCATAACCATACATATTTAAATGTCTATATGCATGTATATGTATCTAGATGCTTGGATATGGGGTTTTATCACAAAGTGATAGGCATCTAAGTTTGAGTTCTCAGTCTAATCTCACTGTATAGCTAACAGAGAAAAATAAACACCTCAGGGTGTGATTTAATGCACTTGAAATCTGAATCACTCTTTGAAAGTATATCTCCACTGACTAGAAAGACTGGAAGATGGATGAAGTTATGTACCTGAAGTAAGAATCTCTCCTGACTCCTTTCTTCTTATCAAATTTTCCTTTAGATATTAAAGAAGAATATTTTTTCCAATTCTCAAAACTTTTGCTGTTTCAGAAAAAAACCCCAACCATTTCAAATCACATCGAAAATAAAAACAAAAGAATTGAGAAAGCTAAAAAAACTTATGAGACAAAGCAACCTTCCAAATTACCGCCCCTTAGACAAACTGAAATGTTCTGTTTAAGGTTTAGTTTTTAATAAAAACATTAAAGCATAGCTTACTTACATAAAAAAAATAAAAAATCTAAGGAAAACATTAAGATATCCCCCATAAATTTTTCTCAAAGTATACTTGCCCTTTTAGCATGTACATTTTCTTGTGGAAAATTTCAATTTTTCTCTCTTCCTGCAATGATGTTGTTTAATAAAATAATTCCTGACCAGAGTCTACCTCTGTTTGTTTACTTTACTTTGCTGTAGAGTGATATTTCCATTCTCTGCAATTCCTCCTGTTTTCATTGTAAGGGCTATGAAATTATCAATTCCACAAAGGTTTATATGTAATCATATATTATGAGACAGTTTTCCAAAATGCAGTGTAGAGCAGCAGCTTCCAACTATGGATGTGGAAATGTTTACTTTATGTAAGAGTTTAGTAGTTGCAGGCTGTTGGGAGTAATTTCTGCCTGACTTTATGGAGATGTATATATTCCTCTGAGGAGGACTGGGGTTATCCTAGAGTAGGAAAGCTATGGTGACAGACAGGAAGGAGCCCTGGGCTTCAGGAGCTGAGGAGGGAAGGAAATGCTAAGTGTGCGTGTGCTGGTACAAGAGGGAGGTGGAAATACAGAGGTAGGATGCACATTTGGAGATTTGCTGGGGGGTATTAGGAGAAAGAAAGTGCAAAGTCATGGCTAATTCTGGGCTTTCACCACACTGGCTTGGAATGGGCACCTACAGCCACAGGTTATGGTGCCTCCCTCTGCCACCTCTGATGAATATGTATACAAATAAAGGTAGAGATTTAGAGAACGCAAATTTAAGAAAGATTACAAGCCCCTTGACATTTCAAATAAGAGCAAAACATATTATTTTAATCAAAAGCATGAAGTGATCTTGTGCATCACGTGTTGAATTTGAATACCTTTTAATTTGCATCCGCATTTTGATCAATTTCAGGTACAAAGCAATTGTAAATCCCATGGACATCCAGACCTCCAGTGCAGTGCTATGGACCTGTCTTAAAGCCACTGCCATCTGGGTAATCTCCGTGCTCCTAGCAGTTCCTGAAGCAGTGTTCTCCGAACTGGCTCACATCAATGACACAGATAATGCCACTTTCACAGCGTGCATACCGTACCCCATGACAGATGACATGCACCCAAAGATCCATTCTGTGCTGCTTTTCCTTGTATATTTCCTTGTGCCTCTTGTGATTATTAGTATCTACTACTATCATATTGCAAAGAGTTTAATAAAAAGTGCTCACAACATCCCTGGAGAATACAGTGAGCATTCCAAAAGACAGGTAAGCAATTTGCTTTTTACATCCTGTTGAAAGATTTGTGTTTTGTATGCACTTATAAATGAAAGTAAAGGAATTATAACACCCAAATAGTTTGGATTTTACAGAAGATGAGTTCAGTTTCCACATGAACTAAGACAAGGATTATCTGAAAAATCTCCTAGTTTTCACAATTACTCAGTATTAAGCCCAGTATGTAAATTAATATGAGCAAGGTAAAATATAAATTCAATGCCACCAATCCACATTCTTAACATTAAATGACATTGGTGCATATCCTTGTATGTGCTGTTAATTTAACCATTACTTGTGTTCTTACTAAAGAATGATGTTTTTTGTAGTTAATGTAGACAGACTTCACCTGTCTCTATAGGCAGCCATTTTGGGAAAGAAATCTTTGAGAATTGTCCCTCTTTTATTTGTGCTTGGAAATGAGAAAACTGACATAAGCAGGGAAGATTTATGTAGGAAATCTAAGGTCTTCTCAGACCAAGGAGTGCTGAAAAGATGAACACAGAGCATTAACTGATTATTTTTTGACTTTCTTAGTAGATCTTCCTTGGATATAATCCTGAACTCTCACTTTTCTAATATCCTTTCTGTTATAGATGCTATAACAGTCTTGGTATAGATTCTGTATACCTTTGAGACAAAGCTTTTTAAAATGCTGGACAAAGCCATCTTCCCTGTAAGGCACAGGAAGCAGTAAGACAGCAACATTAGCAGGAACACTTATATGTACAAACACCAGTTTTGCAGTGAAAGTGCCTTGACCACTTTGAAAAAGCATTAGTAGTGATAGAGAAAAATACTTATGCCTATTAAAACAACTTTGAATGATTTTCTCTTCCAGAATTTTATAAAACTACCTCCATACTAACTGAAATCTCCTTGCATATATAGTATGTACATATTCATTTAAAGGAAAGACTACATTCCCTCATGTCCTTTTTGAGCAGTATTTCATTTCTACTCTGGTCTGTTTCTTGTCAAAAGTGCATACATATTAGCACTTCAGGTATTATTTTATTTTCTTGTGAAATATAGAGAGCCTTTTGGCTGAACTCTCTAGATGGAAAAAAAATGTTTAATTTATATCACATTTCTGAACTCACATGTATTTTCAAAGTAAGAACATATTTTTTCATTCTACTTGGTTTTTTTTCTTTTTTTAATCTATGAAGCTCAGAAGAATAGAAAATTCTGGTATACTTACATGTCTTCCAGCAAGAAGAAATAAATTCAGACTATTGCTATCAAATCATGTTTCTTTAGGCCAAGTGTAAAATTCACTCTCTGCCTCTGCACCTTTTAGTTTGCTCTTGCAATATGAGTGCAAATGCTACCTAATTGAAATGTTAGAGTTTTCCCATCTTTTGGGAATTCCCCATTGTTTTTTGTTTAGATAGAGACAAAAAAACTACTTAAAGATTAATTTCACAAATTTTGAAACCCTGTTAGAATAAATTTGCTTAATTTTTTTTTTCCAGAAAATTGAGCAGAGCTAGAAAACTTTCCTGCATTTGCAAAATTTTCATACTTCATGTACATAATAAATCTTTTAGGAAGAATATGAAGAAACTTTCTGCCTCTCTTTGGTGCCTTCTATCTGTCCAGTCTCTCTCTCACTTTGGATTCACTGTGTAGGCTCATATCTTGCCAAATTTTCAGCCATTCTCAGTAGTGTCACTGTAATCCATTATAACTTAGTGCTGAAATTAAGGTACATTTCATGTCATTATTGAAGATTTAATGGAACCTTTCACTTTACCTTGGAATTAAGATGCTTTATACTGTGTAATGCAGTTTTGGTGGTTTCTCTAGGAGAGAGGGGCAAGCTGAGGCACTTCAGGAAAAACAATGGGATATAAATATATCTATCTATCTATCTATCTATGTATATATATATATAGAATGGCTAACACCCTAGTAATGTCTCTACATTTCATTCACAATGTCTCTATTTTTAAAGCCAACAGTTTCTAAATAGCTTTCTAACTAAAACTTAAGTTTCAAGCCAAGCATTGAGATCTCATCAGAAAAGATTACGGTTCATGACATCCTTTGGTGCTTACTTTCAGGCTAAAAGCCAATGTTTCCTTGGGTCATGAATCAGTCTTGCTGTGTATATTGTATAGAAAGAGCAACCTTGTGTAACTGCGAACAGCTAGGATCTGTCAGTGAAAGTAAACTGAAAGTGGGAAAGGAAAGTAAATGAGACGGAACAAGTAATTCAACCCCTGAAGGAAGCATTTTTACTGACCTTACTTATGATAGTTGTTGAAGCTAATATAAAGCAAAATACTACATGTTTTAATTAAGTCTGTTATGTGGAGTAGTTCTATTCGTTGTTGTTCATTTGGGTTCTCTTCATCTTTTTAGATGGAAACTCGGAAACGTCTGGCAAAAATTGTTCTAGTTTTTGTTGGCTTCTTTGCTATCTGCTGGTTTCCTAACCATGTGCTATACATGTACCGATCTTTTCATTACAATAAGATTGATCCATCAACAGGACATATGGTTGTTACCTTAGTGGCCCGAGTGCTAAGCTTCTGCAATTCTTGTGTCAACCCATTTGCATTGTATTTTCTCAGTGAGAGTTTCAGAAGACATTTCAACAACCAGCTTTGCTGCAGGAAGAAAGCTCAGCGAGAGAGATCTGCCAGCTACTTGCGCAACTCTTCTGCCATTCAAATGACTTCCCTGAAAAGCAATACCAGGAACACAGCGACTACCATGACACAACTGAATGGGCACAACTTGAAACAAGAAATGTCATTATGATTTAACATGTGTAATTTTTGACTGTGAAACAAATTTGAACATTTTATTTGCGGTTTGTAACTCACTTTTGGCTCTCGTGATTAGACTGTCTAAGTACTCAAAATAGAGGTTCTCTCAAAGTCTGGCCAGTATCAGATTATCTCACACCTAGTCTGACTCTTAGATAGAAATGAGCAGTACATTTTATTGAGAAACCAAAACTGACTGGTGTTACACTGTACTTTAAAGGACATGCTAGTATGTGTTTAACATGAAGGAAAACAGAGTATCTGATATAATATTGCTTTAAAAAGTTTAGATTTTCTGATTTGAAAAAATATGTATTTTCAACTGAATATTGATCCAGGCTTATGTTTTACTCTAATAGATTTTGCATTATTTTAGCTGTGTGGTATCTACAGACATTGCTTGTTAAGACTGTTAGGCATTTTGGACTCAATTAAAGGGCCATTGCAACACGTAAATTCTAGTTTCAGATAAAAAAATATTCAAGTATCGAGTGCCAGATCTTTACCTCATTGAAATCCACCTTGTTTGTTCACTTTGGTAGACATACGTGATGAGATTTTACTCTTTGAAGCTTCTGCTTGCTGCTGAGGTCAGAAGTTTATCTGCTAAAATTTCATTGTTTTCATGGTTAACATATCAAAAGAAAAATGGGTGCAACACGCAGGTTTTCTAGAACTCAGTGTCTGAAAGCTCGTTTCTCTGACTGTTAAGACTGTAGCACCATTGGTTTAGAGTTTCTACATGCTATATATTTGCTGCTAACTGATGTTGTTGATATCAGTACACAGCTAAGAAGGATGCTAAGTGTACTGGGAGGGTTGAACATTCAAGAAGGTAAAATTCTGAGTGGCTACTTCACAGGGGTTCTGTGGCAAGTCTTCATACAGCTCAGCAAGATCTCAGAGTGCAGAACCCAGATTAAGACCAGACAAAACCAAACTGAAGGATGCCATGCAGGAGCGCACTCAACATACTCTGATCGCTAAGGATCATCCAGACCATGGGCCAGACAAGTCCTAGTCTGAGACAACCCCCAACTAATGAAACATGGGTGGCTGGCATGAGTAGCTGGCATTGGTTGCTCAGTACCAGCTGTTTGCTTTCTGTGTTTTAAGTACATGTCTTATGAGGAGTTGCTGAATGAGCGGGGGTTATGTAGTCTGGAGAAAAGGAGGCTCAGGGGGACCTTATCAGTCTCTACAACTCCGTGAAAGGAGGTTGAAGCCAGGTGGGGGTGAGGGTGAGTCTCTTCTTCCAAGTAATAAGTGACAGGCCGAGAGGAAATAGCTTCAAGCTGTGTCAGGGAATGTTTAGATTAGATATTAGGAAAAATTTTTTCACTGAAAGGGTGATCAGGCATATTAGAATAGGCTACCTAGGTAAGTGTTGGAATCACCATCCCTGGAAGTGTTCAAAAGGAGTGTATATATCAGTTGGGGATATGGTTTAGTGGTGAACATGGTGGTGCTAGGCTAATGGTTGAATGCGATGATCTTAGAGGTCCTTTCCAGTTTTAACTATCTTGTGATTCTATTCTATCTTCTAGATCTACTCCTCATGCACACACTGTTTACCAGTCTCAACAAAGCTCCAGTACTGTTGAAAATCTGACACTTTTTCTTTTCCTGAAGGCCCATGTGCATAAATAGTCAATGTACTTCTGAAAATCCTGTCTGAGCTGCCTAAAAAAATGATTTTCAAACGTTTTTGTTAGTCATTCCAGTGCCATGGGCAGCATACATCTTTGTCATTATTCTTAGGAGGACACTTTCAAGGTACATGGTCAGTGCGGACCTGGGATTAAAACAGCTGAGAATGCTGTGTGAGGCTCTAGTACCAATTACCATCATGTCCAGAACAAATTTGCTAGGAGGATCTACTCCTCTTTTTTTTCAGTTACAGATCTCTACTAGGGATACCCCAGACAAAGCTTGCAAAACTGCCCTTCAAATCTCAAGAAAGCAAGAAGTTCAGCCCTAAAATAATATATTTTTTTAAAAATTTTTTTAATCAGTTCACATGCCAACACAGGTAGTCAGCTAGGCACAAAGACAGAAACATACTTCTGCTGCTCGGGCAAGGCTGTTCATATAAAAGCTTCTGGGAGGAGTCAGAGCTGATTCCCCCCTTACACAGCTGCACGGTGTCAGATGAATAATTATTCCCAAGCCAGGTGAGAGGCTAGCTGGGGCAGGGTTTGTTTTGTGTCTGAGCTTCAGAGAGAAAATGCTCACAGTGTCCTTCTTAGGAGAAGGGGCAGTAATGGCAGATAAGGGCACCTTGTGAAATTATTTTGTTATGGCCAGTTCATGAGCCAAATGTAATTTTAAATGCCTTTTTCTTTGAAATTGGATGGAACTGCGCCAGCACAGATCTCTCTGTCACAACATCGTATCCTCGACTGCTGCAGTGACTTGTCTAAGGTGAATACTAGAAAGTACACCAGAAATTTAGATTGGATTTCAGAATTAGTTTCCAGCCTTATAATTTCAAAAGCTGAAGTGCTTATGCAATGTAGCAACTCACTATTCCTTTTGTCCTTATTTATGCACTTGCACTTATTTAGTCCTGTTTGTAATTGTGGAACCATCGGAAGTTCAAAATTTCTTTCTCAATTCCCCTGTCTTCAAGACTAGTCATACCCCTACCCCAATTTTTAAAGCAGCAAGAAGTTAAACTGATGTAATTTGTACATGATTTAGCTAATTATCTGAGAAAAAAAATCCCCAGTTTTTACCACTCAACAGGGAAAGTAACAGATTGAAGTTCTTACTGTCAACCAGCATGGTCCAGTTGGATGAACCTATAGGGTGATGTAATGTAGTTAAAGTTGTGTGCAGCATTCAAATGAGAAAACTTATGAAGTTCAGTGTAGTTCAGCTCCATACTACCTGCCCTAGCTGATTGCAGTTGCCCTGTGGCTTCAGTGGCTCCTTGGAAGGCTTTACACAAAGGAGCCAATTGATTCGAACTTGTAAATCTATGTGTAATGGTTTAGGAAATTGTCACCTGTCATGGTTTAGGAATGGTATTCCACAATCTAGTGTTCTAAAGTTTTGGATTCCACACTTCTAATCAGTCTCAAATCCTTTTTACTCACAAATATTTCACACCTGCAAAACACAAAAGCTTAATCTTCCTTTGTCAATTCTTAGTGCTGATCGTTGACTGCAATCAAGTTCCCCATTCATTTGTGCTGGTTTTTTTCTGGTTCTCAGCTCCTGATTTTGTTTAGCAACTTTCTACACTGCATAGCATTTCACAGGACTTCTAAATCCATTGTGTTCTTTATTTCCTAAATGCATTTGTCTGATGGGGACATTACCAGATGATACAGGTGCCCTACCGGAAAAATAATAATCTAATTTATAGTAGATTTGATGCTTGTGTTTGATTCATACTCTTCGCTCAGCATCTTAAAGTGCTGTGTGTGTTATGGACAGCATGAGCCAGCTTTCTGGCAGAACTGCAAGCTACATTTCTTTTTGTTGCAAGGGGAAGGTGTTCTAGACTATAACTCCTTCTTGTCAGGAAATCAGCACAATTTTGGTTCATTATTTCCCAGGCCTAATACTTCAAGTCTGTTTTGAGTAAGTAACCTAAACTGTATATAGCTCCTCTCAAATTCTTGTAGCATGGCGTGCCAGAATTAGTTAATCTTTCTGGAGCTTTACTGGGTGTATTGCTAGCCCAATATGCACATTTTGGAAGTGTCTGTTACTGTGTTTCTGTACATATTGTATAAAAGTACAACTGTATGTATAAAGCTATTTTCAGAGAACACTGCTTGCTAACAATTAAATGATTGTAGAACACATTTTATGAAGTATTTTCTTCTAACTGTAATCAAAGAAACAAAGGAAATCCATAAATGAGATCACCTTTTCATATACTACATTTAGATCTATGCTAAAACAGTTAAAATACCACCTGATTATTTCTTTCTGTTATGAAAACTTTCTCATTTCAGAAACATCAGTTCTTTTCTGTCTTCCTCTCCTGAATTTTGAGATGGTTTCTTTCAAAGATATTTTTGCAACAATTGAGAAAACTACCATCCCTTCTCAGTGTTTGAAAAATGAGGGAATAGAGGTAATTACTGCTTCCTCAGTGTAAGACTTTTTTTTCCTCTAGACTAGAGCTAGTACAGAATAAATCTGATAGCATCTTGTCACTCCACCCTGTCAGTCATAAAAGCATTATATACACTGGTGAATTCTGAAATGTCAGTATGGTTAAATTCTTAACTGACCTGAGACACAACATTTAGTATTACACTGTGACATGATAATTATCTTCAACAAAACCACTTCAGTTACGATATGGAACAAATCTTTGCAACACACCTGCCCCATAAATATTTGTCTTAGCTCAGTCAAATAGGTTTACAGAAATTATGTCCCAGGAGTTAGTCAGGCTGTGAAGTCTAGGCTCGAAGGGGGAAGGTCATAAGACCAGTGTCGTTGTTTGAGACCCTTAAAATCCAATTCTCGAGTCCAAGCCCCCCTGCCAAATCTCACCCCAGTGTGAGATGGGTTCTCCAGACACTACACAAGACTCAATATGGGGGGAAAGGGAATTATATTACAATTACTGTAGAAATAAATATTACAATACATCATATACATAATCTTAACTATCTCTCCTATGATAAATCAGTATTTACAATGGATCAATCTCTTCTCCCTCCAATGAAAGTTCAGAAGGGAAGAAGGAAGAGATCCTTTCCACTCTCAGAACAGCAGTGTCTCTCCTCTTCCATGCAGCAGGTGTAGCTGGACTGTTGTAGCTGGATCTCCTTCCATTACACACAAGGGGAGGGTCTCCTCTCACCCCCTCTCTCTCCTGTGGACTGCAATATCAGGGACAAGCTCACGTCACCACGTCATATCACGAAGTGCAAGGGGTCTTCGTGACGGTCCCTTTCCTCAGGGGATTCACCCCTGAGTCAGAACGTCTTGGGCAGCTTTCAGTTGAAAGCCTTTGCCTCAACCATTCTATCAGAGCTCCTGTGCTCTGTCTCAGCTACTGCCAGCTTGGCAGCAGCAGCGGCGGTGGGGGGGCAAGGTCACCCCCTCCACATTCTGTCTGGCCATCCTGGTCCAGCTCCGGGATGTCTTGAGCTTCTTAGCTCCTCTCTCCGGTGCATGCTGCAGTCCAAGACTCCTCTCAAATAGGAGTTCATCTCCTCCTCCTCTCTAGGAGGTCTCAGAGGGGTTTGGGGGGTTTGTTTCCGTTCTTACCCCAAACTCTCTCTCTCTGTAGAGCTTAGTCCTGCTCTGTCTCTCTCCGTTAGAGATCTCTGTGTCTTCCTGCTTGGCTGCAGGCTGTCTCTGCTGTATCTTATCTCTTTCTGGCTCTCTGCCACGGTTCTCCATCCACTGATGCTCTGCCACTGCTTTTAGTATCTCCTGCTGCCCACTCACAGTGGAGAAAGACTCTCAGCTTCTCAGTCACAGACTCCGGTCCAGTTTAATACTGTTTCCGAGTTTCTATGACTCCAGCCAGGGGCTCGGGGGCCATGGCCCCCCAAAGGGGCTCTTGCCCCTTCTCCTTGTGGCTTTACAACATGGCCACTTCCCAACAACTACAGCATCCTTCTTTTCTGGTCTGGTTGTGATATGTTTATATTTTGCAGGAGTGCTGATTGGTTCAACCCCAAGGGACACCACCCCCTCGGGGGTTACCATTTTTTTAACTCCAGGGGGAAAACTTTTTTTCCCCCACCACAACCAGGCTCACTAAAGATGAGCCTAGGGGTGGCATACCTGGGATGGAGGCAAAACCATTAGCCCATTTGAAGTGCATCTACAACAGTGCACTCAGTATGGCCAGCAAGCAGGAGGAGCTGGAAGCCACTGTACAGCAGGAAAGTTATGATGTAGTCACTATCACAGAAACACGGTGGGATGACTAGAGTCACAACTAGAGTGCTACAATGGATAGCTATAAGCTCTTTAGACATTGTACAAGTGGCTGGCAAAAGTCTCATGCTTTCTGATCCTTGTACTCATGGGTGACTTCAACTTGCCAGTTGTCTGCTGGAAATACAGTGCAGCAGAGAGGAAGCAGTCTAGGAGGTTTCTGGAGTGTGTGGAAGACAAATTCCTAAAAAAACTGGCAAATAAACATTCCAGAGGAGGTGCTCTAGTAGACCTGTTTTTTCTGAACAATGAAAGACTGGTGGGTGATGTGGTCAGTGGCTGTCTTGGACAGAGTGACCAGGAAATGGTAGAGTTTTCAGTCCTGCATGAAGAAAGGAAGAGCACCAGCAGAACTTCCACCTTGAACCTCCAGCAAGCAGACTTTGGCCTACTTAGGACATTGATTGACAAAGTTCCTTGAGAGTCAGGGGACTTTCCTGAAGGGCAAAGGACTCCAGGAGTGCTGGCTGTGCTTTAAAAAGGAATTGTTAAATATTCAGGAGTAAGCTGTCCCCACGTGTGTAGAAAGACAAGTCATCAGGAAAAAAGACTGGCCTGATTAAACAGAGAACTTATGCTGGAATTTAGGGAAAAAAGGAGAATCTATCGTCTCTGGAAGGAGGGTCAGGTAACTTGTGAGGACTACAACAATGATGCAAGGTCATGTAGGGAGAAGATGAGAAGGGCCAAAGCCCAACTAGAATTTGATTTTACTGCTACAGTTAAAGACAACAAAAAAAGTTTCTATAAATACATTGGCAGCAAAAGTAGGGTCGAGGAGTGTCTCCATCATTTGTTAAATGCAGAGAGTAGTGCAGTGTCAGGGAATGAGGAAAAGGTAGAGGTACTTACTACCTTCTTTGCCTCAATCTTCAATATCAAGACCAGTTTCCTCAGGATACCCAGCTCCTAGAGCTGGAAGTTGGTGATGGGGAGATGAGTGAAGCCCCCATAACCCAGGAGGAGATGGTTACTGACCTGCTATGCTAATTAGACACTCAGAAGTCTAAGGGCCCTTATGGTATCCACCCCTGAGTAATGAGAGAACTGGTGAAAGAACTTGCCAAACCGGTATTTGACTGGAAATTAGCAAAAGTAATGCCCATCTACAAGAAAGGTCAGAAGGATGATCTGGGGAACTATAGGCCTGTTAGCCTAACCTTGGTTCTGGGAAAGGTTATAGAAGAGTTCATCCTGAGTGCCATTACACAGCATATGCAGGACAACCAGGGGATCAAGCCCAGCCAACATGGATTTATGAAAGACAAGTCCTGTTTGACCAACTTTGTCCTTCTATGACAAAGTGACCCTCTTAGTAGATGAGGAAAAGACTGTGGATGTCATCAATCTAAACTTCAGTAAAGTGTTTGACACTGTCTCCAACAGTATCATCCTAGAAAAACTGGCTGCTCATGGCTTGGATGGGTGGACTCTCCAATGGCTAAAAAACTGAACCCAGAGACTTATGGTGAGTGGAGCTAAATCTAGTTGGCAGCCAGTTGCTAGCGGTGTTCCCCAAGGCTCAGTTTTGGGGCTGGTCCTGTTTAACATCTTTATTGATGACGTAGACATGGGAATTGAGTGCATCCTAAGTAAATTTGCAGATGATACTAAGTTGGGTGGGAGTGTTGATCTGCTTGATTGTTGGAAGGCTTTGCAGAAAGACTTGGACAGACTCTATTAAGGGCTTAGCACAACTGCATGAGGCGTAATAAGGCGAAGTAGTAGGGTCCTGTAGTTGGGTCCCAGCAATCCCATGCAGCACTACAGGTGCTACAGTCACTGTAGGAGTGACTTGAGAACTGTTCAGGAGAAAGGGACGTGGGAGTGCTGGTTGACAGCCAGCTGAACATGAGCCAGCAGTGTGTACAGGTGACCAAAATGACCAATGGCATCTTAGCCAATATCAAGAATAGTGTAGCCAGCAGGACTAGGGAAACGATCATCCCAACCTGCATTTGGCATTGGTGAGGCCACACCCTGAGTGCTGCATTCAGTTTTGGGTCCCTCCTTTAAAAAGGACATTGAGGTGCTGGAGTGTGTCTAGAGAAGGGCAATGTGGTGGGTTGACCTTGGCTTGACACTAGATGCCCACCCAGCCACTCTATCACTCCCCTTCCCAGCTGGATAGGGGAGAGAGTAAGATGGAAACAACCTGTGGGTTGGGATAAGGCAGTTTGTTAAAGCCAAAGCAAAACAAAAGCTTGCGCGGGCAAAAATGAAGCAAAAGATAATAAGATTTATTCTCTTCTTCCCATGAGCAGCAGTGGTCGGCCACTCCCAAGAAGCAGGGTTTTGGTATGCATAACGGTTCCTCAGCAGGCAACCATTGCAGACAATGAATGCCTGCCTTCCTACTCCTTACCTTAGTTCTTATATCTGAGCTGATGTCATATGGTCCGGAATATCCCTTTGGTCAGTTTGGGTCAGTTGGCCTACTTTTGTCCCCTCCCAGGATCTTGCCCTCATTTGAGGAAGGAATGTTACAGTGCTGATGCTGTGCTCAGCAGTAGCCAAAACACTGGTGTGTTATCAACACCCTTCTAGCTACCAATGCAAAGCACAGCACTGTGAGGGCTACTGTGGAGAAATGAACTCCAGCTCAGCTAGACCCAATAAAGGCAACAAGGTTCATGAAAGGTCTAGAAAATATATCTTACGAAGAATGGTTGAGGGAGCTGGGTTTGTTTAGTCTTAAGAAGAGGAAGCTCAGAGGGAACCTCATCACTCTCTACAACTACTCGAAAGGAGATTCTAGTGAGATAGGGACCAGTCTCTTCTACCACACCTGCAGTGAGAGGACTAGATGAAATGGCCTTAAGCTGAGACAGAGGAGATTCAGATTAGATATTAGAAAAAACCTTTTTCACTGTTAAGGTGGTCAGGC